CCCAAATCTCATCTCGAATTATAATCCCCATGTGTTGAGGAAGGGAAGTGATTGCACTACAAAGCTGGTTTCCCCCATGCTGTTCTGTGATAGTGAGTGAATGCACAAGATTTGATGGTTTTATAAATGGTAGGCTTTCCTATGCTCACACACGCTCACTATTCTCTTGCATGCCACCATGTAAGATGTGTCTGCTTCCCCTTCCATAGTGAGTATAAGTTTCCTGAGGCCTCCACAGCCATGTGGAACTGTGAGTGAATTAAGCCTCCTTTGTTTATAAATTACCCAGTCTCAGGTATTATTGTATAGCAGTGTGAGAATGGACTAATACAGACCCTCAGAGGAGAGGAATGCAATTAAATTGTGCATTCTGGAAGACAGAATTTAAAGGACATCAGAGGAAGTTTGTAGCCTTAAGAGCAGGGGTTCTCATTCTGGTGGAATGTCCCAATCATCTCAGGAGTACTTAAATATGCAGACTTTTGAGGTCCCATCTACAAAGGTTCTGGTCTAGTTGACCTGGGGGAAAAGCTCCCAGCTAGATTGTGAATGTCCTGCTCTGTGTAGTTTGATGTATGGTTCCTTTTTTGGTGCCTGCTGCCTGATGACCCAGCCACTAGCTGACTCTCTCAGCTTCTCCCCTACCTTCTTTTCCACAACCTCATTGCCTTGGATCCTTCAAGCCTTACCTGTAACTTCACCTTCTTAGTGAGACCTTCCCTCATAGTAAAAATTGTACCCCATCCCCCAGCACTTTTTATTCCCCTTTCCTGCATTATTTTTATTCAGCACTTATCACCGTCTAATATATGATTTGATTTGCTTCTTTGTGTTTATTGTCAGTTCCATCCACCAGAATGTAAGATTCAAGGCAGAATTTTTATGTATTTTGTACAAACTGTCTCCCCAGGACCTAAACACAGGAGATGCTTAATCAATACTTATTGAATGAATAGGTGAATGGATATCTGCTGCTTAGCCATTATTTGGTAGACATTAGCTTCTGCTTGCTGGTGATCTGTCAGGGCCCTTCGTGCCCATGGACACCCTCTGTGACTCCTGGATTTTAGCTTCCCCAATTGATTGCCTGATTGGATCAGGGTATTTTTGGACTGATTTTTTCCCCCAGGTCATTTTTTGAATGGGTATGACTTGTCTGTGTCTAGGTCAGTGTGCACTCAGGGGCAATCAACAGTGATTCAGGGATTACACACACAGTACAAAAGAGTACTGCCTAGGGCCACCATTCAGCAAGGGCTGGAGGAGGGGCAGTTTCTCCAAGCCAACCTTGGTGCTGGATGACTGTTCAGCAAATTACCTAACCGCGATGAGCTTCAGGAAATTTGCAGTAACAGCACCAGTTTGTCTGAGACAGACTGGGAATTCTTCAGTGGTTCAAGTGAACAATATATGGAACATGCTCGCAGAAGGCGTTTTCACTATTAATTTATAATATGACTAAAACAAGATGAGTATGGGAAGTTACATAATTTTGGATGACATTTAAATGTGGCTTAAAAAAAAAAAAGCCTGCTGGTATGGTAGCTCACTCCTGTAGTCCCAGCTACTCGAGAGGGAGGATCACTTGAGGCCACGAGATTAAGAACTTGAGACCAGCCTTGTCAATACAGGAAGACCTCATCTCTTAAAAATAAATGAATTAGGCCAGGAGCAGTGGCTCATGCCTGTAATCCCAGCACTTTGGGAGGCTGAGGCAAGTGGATCACAAGGTCAAGAGTTTGAGCCCAGCCTGGCCAACATGGTGAAACCCCATCTCTACTAAAAATACAAAAATTAGCTGGGCATGGTGGCATGTGCTTGTAGTCCCAGCTACTTGGGAGGCTGAGGCAGGAGGATTGCTTGAACTTAGGAGGTGGAGGTTGCAGTGAGCTGAGATCATGCCACTGCACTCCAGCCTGGGTGACTCCATCTCAAAAAAAAGAAAATAATTAATTAATTAATCTAAGAGAAATAGTAGAGGAGAAATTAAAAATTTAGAAACGTGTTGCTTGATGTGCCTTTGGATTCTTTTTTTTTTCTCCAAAATGAGCCTTTGGATTCTTCTTCCCCACCCTTTAATGTTTTTAAAATGTTACTCTCATTTCATATTGATTTCTAGTTGGCAGGGGCTTCTGTACATAACTTCCAAAGTGATATTTAAGAGGAATAAATGCAAAGATCTGCACTGTTTCCAAACTCAAATTGCAAAATACAGGTTGAAGAAGATATGGTTTTATTGCTGTCTATATGTTAAAGACTTAAAAGGATTTGGGGGTAATTTTTGCTTGTTTTTAGTTGGCAATGACATGCTATTTATGAACAGTATGTGATGGTAGAAAAATAATGTGATATCAAACTGAATTTTGAAATATCATCATTAGAATGCATAAAATTGTACTCCTCTACTCCTCTCTTTATTGGAATATTGGATTCAGTTCTAGGTGCCACATTTTCAGAGTCACTGGCGGATGTTTAGATAAGAGCGTATGGAGATGAATGGGACATGAATAAAGAGTGAGTGGAGAAGGCACACACTGTGACTGCTGACTTCAAATGTTTACAAGGCTGCAAAAGGGGAGAGAACCAGGCTGTTTTGTATTAAACAAATGTTAGTACCAGGTTCAGATTCACTGGACACATTAATACACATTGCATTCATATTTACAATAATGATTTAAGGCGCTATGATTATCATTTTCCCCTTTTAGAATGGAGCAAACTCATACTTGCAGCAGAATTGTGCTTTTTCAAGGTCACACAGCTAGGAAGTCATAAACCCAGGATTTGACCACACTTCTTTGGAGTTTAAGTCCAGTGGTGTTTCTACCAATACTGGTAGCTACCCACCAAATGTATACAGACACACATTTCAGTTGAACATAGGAACTAGTAGGACTGTTTACAAATGAACACTGTTATGAGGTCATGAATGGTTTCCTATCACTTGGAGTTTAAACTTATGCTGGATAGCTACTTTGCAAGGATCTCGTACCTTTATAGCAAAATATTAAAAACAAATGCTAATCATAGAGCCAAAGAAACTCCACAAGTGAAGTCTCATGACTGTAAGTGATAGAGATAAGTTCATTCAGTAGTTATTGGAAAACGTAGCATCCAAATTTCTTTCTCTGAATTTACAGTCTAATGTTTTTTTCCATTGTAGCAGTTATCTCTCATCTAACACCTAGGTAAATACAATGTGGAACCAGAAGGTATGGAAAGAGGAAGGGCAGGGATATTTTGTGAATTCCTGTAATGGATTGCTTGGCATGCTCTTGTTTTATTAGGTAAGCAAAGAATGTCAGTGGTAGTTGGAGAGAGTTTAAAATGATAAGCAGAGAATGCCACATAGTCGAGAAAGAAAAAACAGAATACCATGGAAGGCTAAAAAAGTCAGGGACTATGGATTTCACTGTATTTTCTTCTTGTTGAGTAGATGCTCAACATTTATTTGTTGGAATGGAAAATGATTTCAACACTTCAGCAAACAGTAAAAGAGAACCTTCTTTGTGCTAAGCACTGTGCTATGTTCTGGGGAGAAAAAATGAACCAGACAAAATCCCTATCCTTTTAGGGACACACAGTCTAGAAAGAAAAGGCCACTAAGCAAGACAAAGGGAAAAAAGCAAGTACTAAAGATTATCATAGGGAATACTGTAGACAAATGATTTTATGAAAGCAGAGAGAAAAAGAGTATTTAGTTCATTGTAAACGTGTGGGGTAAGGATGCGGATGTGGTGAAAGGTGATGTCAGGGAAGATTCCAAGGAGGGAGTGATGCACTATCTTCATTATCTTGAAGGATAACAGGAGTTCAGCTGGTTAGATGAGGAATGGATTTCAGGTGGGGAAAACTACAAGGGCACAGAGACAAACTCTGTTGAATTTGTGTGATATGTAGATATATTAGGAGTTGAAGCTGGAGCCAAGGAGGTCAACAGATTAGACTTTAAATGGCTTTGTATACCATGGTAATGAGTTTGAACCTGATTTAACCAGGTGCAGCGATTGAATGATTTTTAAAGAGGTACGTTTCCTGCTGAGCTCTGTCTTTTTGGAGCACTCTCTCTGGCAGTTATAAGGAACTGAAACAGAAGTGAAATTAAAGGCTTGACCTAAAGAGTGGCAAAGAGGCAAAGAGGCTGAAGTCATGGAGACAGGCTGTTATTCACAGAATTAAGAGTAAGAATTTATCTATGGGATTTTAAGTCAGAAAACTTTAGTGGAGAGAAATTTGGTTGCTTAGTTGTTGGAATGGCAAGATTTTATCAACAGAATTAGGTGCTACTGAAGTGAGTGGCAGAGTGAATACCATGGAAGTCTTGAGATTGGGACTACACAGCTGCTCTGATCTGGTGTGCATTTGCTGATGACTCTTTTGAACTGAATTCAGGAAATGACACAAAAATGATTTGCTCAATAAAATGAGAACGAGGACTCTGAATTCAGTATATTTAAAGAAAAATAACTAGGTTGGTAAAAATGGAGAAGTAGCTATTATTAGGAAGTCCCATTTGTGGATTAATTTTGGACTGCCCAATGGAAAGATCCTCAAAGCGAAACAAATGCCTTGAATCCAGCCCTTTCTCACCGCAACCCTTTCCCCTTCATCTGCCTTCATCCTTCAGTCACAGCACCGCTTGGCAGTGGGTACTTGGGAGCAGCTCTTGGAGACCTTGTAATCGAACCTTCGAACTACAGGATGAGGTCAGGGGAAATAAATGACTTGCCAAGATTCCTCCCTTAAGCCCAGACTTCTGACTTCAGGTCTGGGGACCTGCCACTCCTCCAGACTGCCTCCCACCTGGGGAACCTGGGCCTCGGCGAGAGGCGGGGAAGGCAGGGTCCAGCTGGGAGCACTAAGTCCTCCTGGCACTCAGCCCTCAGCCCCGGGCCTGGCGGGACGCCCCGCCCCGCCCCTTTTCCCCCTTCCCCCTTCCCCCTTCCTGAGCCGGGCTGGGTCGCTGTACCGCCGTCACCCGGGCGCGCGCGGGGTCGCGCGGACGCGGCTCCGGCCGCGGGTGCCGAGAGGTCGCCGGGCCACCCGCACCGCCGCCCCCCGCCTGACGCACGGAGGGGCCGGGACGCGATTTGCCACGAGTGACTGGAGTCGCCGCCGCCGCCGCCGCCCGGGCCCGCTCCGCCCCCAGCCCGCCTTCCTCCCGCCGCGCCCTCCGCCTCCTCCCGCACCTCGCTAGCGTTCCCCTGTCCTCCCCAACGCCCCGGAGCCGCCGTCCGCTAGCGCGGGCGCCAGCCAGGTGAGTGTGGCCGCCGCTCGGCCCCGACGGCCCGGGCGGGAGGAGCGCGCAGGCCTAGCGGCCGGGTGGCCGGCGTGGGCCGGTGTTGGCAGCGGCGGTAGCGGGCCCGGCTTTCTTCCCCCGCGCGGGCCGCTGAGCCGCGGGGCTGCGCAGTGAAAGAGGGGCCCCCGCCCCGCCACCCCCGCCTCTCCCAGCGCCCCGGCCGCCCCCGCCGCCTCAGACAAAGCGCCGGAGGTGGGAGCCTCGCGGGCCGCCTTTGCCTCCGCGCCGCCTGCCGGGTGCGGCCGCGGCTCGCAGAGACCGGGCCGCGCACTTCTCCGTTCCTGAGCGCCCTTGTTCATTTCTGGGTGAAAGGGACCCGAATTGTGCAACAGGTTTGGGCGTTAATCCTTATTTTCCGTCGGGTCTCTCCTGCCAGCGTGCAGGGACCAGATGTGGCGCCCGGCTCTGGGGCGAGTCCCCGCGTTCAGCGCCCGCGGCTGGCTCCTTTGTGTGACCGGTGACCGGCCCTGTCGGGTGGGTGGGGGACACGGGCTCGAGGCCCCAGGGCTGTGCCGAGGCTCCTGGATGCCTCCTCAGGGCGCGGGGATTGGCTTCCACGGGCCTGCCGGGGGTTAACACCCCTCCAGCCTTTAGGAGAGTCACAAAGGAGAAGAGAGGGCCGGTTGGCCAGGTCCGTGGTTGTGTGTTTATTTTTCTATTTTAGGTAGACTCAAATTAGAAAAGAGCCGCAGTCTGACCAGCTCTTGAAGGTACGGGTGGGATTTCACCCTGGGATGCAGGGTTTGGACTTGGCTGTTGCTGTGACAGCCCCCGTGGTTTTCCTGGTGCTTTGACATCGCGGGAGAAGTTGGGAGTGTTGCCGAGGGAGTAACTGGATAGCAGCTGTTTGACAGGTCGTCTCTTGCTTCACGTTTTGCCTGTGTCAAGCATGCCCACCATGTATCCCCACATAGCTTGGCAAGCCATCAAATTTAAACTGCTACTCAAAATGCCCCCGTGTTGGAAAATCCTAATCCTTATACATGCATACATACATACATACACAGACACACATACATATTTTTGTTTTTTCTTTTTTGGTTGACTAAATCTTATTTTCTTAGTGTGAGAATTTTCCCCCCAAGAAAGAATGCATAATAAGGTACAGTTTATCTTTGTTTACATACTTTGGGTCATGCCAATACCTAGCTAGTTTCATTGGTATGCTATTTTAGTGTAACAATACTAAATGGAAGGTATCTTCCTTTAACTTTGAGCAACAAAATATGTCTTTGTTCTAGAACCAGGAAGCTTTTATACGTAATACTTTTTCTGGGTAAAAGTTGGTTACTGTCGTTGCCCCATGAATAAATACGTGAAAAAATTCCCAAAGGACCCAGAAAGCATTTCATAATTCTATAGGCTGTTTTTATGTTCCAAATTCCAGGAAATCATTTTGTTGAATATTTATTCGAACAGTCTAGACTAAATTTAATCTTAAAACTTGGGCCTACTCTAATTAAGGTTCCCCAGCATTAGAAAAATGGATTGCATTTACTAAAAAGTTTAGTCCCTGTGAGTAAGAATCGAATGGAATAATTCATGTAAGAGATTGGAGCTAATGATGGACTAGGAATCTGACAACAGAATGCAGAAAATAGGAAGTTGTAAGTAGAGGTCATGAGGTTGCACCTACTTGGGTTTTAGTTGATTGCTAGGCATTTAATGGCATTTTAAACAGGTAATCTTGCTAATCACGTATCTGAAAATGAAATGTCCATTAATTAAAAAAGCAAAACATAGCATTTTGACCTTTTTTAAAAACCGTACTTTATAAGGACTCCTTGAAGCTTTTCCACTTTCTAAAATTGAACTTGGCATTAATTACATTTCTTTTGAAAAAATGAAATTGTACCAAACTAATCTGATTTGTAGAAAGTTTCTCTGTTATAGTAGCTTTACTTTACTAAAAATACCATTCATCTGTATAGTAGCTAACTTCAAAGATCTTTTAAAGCTGTTACAAGCAGCAGGAGCAACCTCTTGAGGAAAGTAGAATATTTACTAATAAGTAGCAAGCAGAAAAGTGAGCCATGATTGGGCCACTGCATTCTGTCGTGGCTGACAGAGCAAGACCTTATCTCAAAAAAAAAAAAAAAAAGAAAAAGAAAAAGAAAAATAGCAGAGGCTTAAATTTTTATAATAGTTTTCTTTGAGATACAATTCATATGCCATGGAATTCACTTTTTTAAAGTATACAATTCAGTGGTTTTGGCGTATTCACAAAATTGTGCAAATGTCAACACTAATTCAGGAACTAAAAAGAAACTTGTACCTTTATTGCTATTCTCCCCATATTTGACAACCACTACTTTATGTGTCTATGTATTTGCCTATTCTGGACATTTCATGTGAATGGAATCATGTGGCCTTTTTATCTTTCACTTAGCATAATGCTTTCAGGGTTCATTTATATACTGTATATCAATATTTCACTCCTTTTATGGCAGAATAATATTTCGTTATATGGCTATGCCATATTTGTTTATCCATTCTTCAATTTGTGGGCATTTGGGTTGTTTCTACTTTTTGGCCATAATCATGTTATGAATAATGAATAATGTGGATACTCATTTACAAGTTTTACAAATTTTTGTGTGTTATATATGCTTTCAGTTTTCTTGGGTATATACCTAGGTGTGGAATTGCTAGTCATATGGTAATTCTGTTTAACTTGTTGAGGAACTGCCAGACTGTTTCCCAGAGCTGCTGCACTGTTTTACGTTTCTTCTAGCCACATCCTTGCCAACACTTGTTAATGTTTGTCTTTTTGATGATAGCCATCCTAGTGGCTGTGAAGTGATAACACATTGTGATTTTCATTTGTATTTCGTCTTTTCATGTTTTTATTGGCCATTTGTATATAATCTTTGGAGAAGTGTCTAATTCATAGTAGTTTCTGTGTTTTTTACATGTATTTTCTAATTTAATCTTTTAAATGATGCTGTAAGGCAGGTTTAGTCCTATTTTACTGCCAGGAAATTAAAGTGCAAAGAAGTTTAATCATCTGCTTGTTTTTTTAACCTTACAGTTAAGAGACAAGGTCTGAATGTAAACTCGGGTTTTCTGACTCTATTTCCTGGACTCAAGGAGGCATACAGAAGTTAAATTGTGTTTGTGAATGTCTGGCTGATCAGTAACAAAGTGAGAGAAAAATAAAAAATCAAACAATAACAAAGAATAAGGTATTTGTGGCCATACTGCCACATATTCATCAGATTTTATTACGCTTTTTCAAATAAATTTCTTTTCTTGTGTCATAATAAGGTAGGTCTGCTTTCCACATTTCCAACGGGGAAACAGAGTCAGAGTGATTCAACCTTCTTAATGGCATAGCTGATCCTAGAAGCCACTATTTGAATAGTATATATGTATATATATATAGAGAGAGTAGAAGCTGAAAATCTCCCTTCACTTTTTGTCTTTTTCCTCTTTTTCACGCCTAAGACCACTTCCATCTTAGAGAAACCACTGTTAACAGTCTGAGGTTTATCTTTCCAAACCTGTATCTTTGCATTTATTGTGTGTATTTATGAATAAATTTTTATATTCCACCACACATACATACATGTTTCTATTCACAATGTTTTTTCTTTTACAGATGGGATTTTACTAAATATATTCCTTTGTTTTTCACAGAAATATGTTAAATTTTTGCATCTGTAATTACAAAGGATAAATCTAATATTTACGTTTTCATTTAAGTTTGCTATCCATGCGTGGCTTTGGTGTCAAAATGAAGCCAGGATTAAGAATGATTGGGAGACTTTCCACTTTTTTCTGTGCTCTGGAACGGTTTAAAATGCCCTTTAAACATTTACTAGAAATCATCTGACAACTGTGGGGGCAGAAAGAGATCTGAGATGACCTTTCTAATTTTTTTTTTCTTTTGAGACAGGATCTCACTCTGTTGCCCAGGCTAGAGTGCGGTGGGGTGACCACTCTTCACTGCAGCCTCAATCTTCTGGGCTCAAGTGATCCGCCCACCCCAGCCTCCCAGGTAGCTGAGATTACAGACATGTGCCACCATGCCCAGCTAATTTTTGCATTTTGTAAAGATGAAGTTTCTCTGTGTTGCCCAGGCTGGTCTCGAACTCCTGAGCTCAAGTAATCCGCCCACCTTGGCCTCTTCAAATGTTGGGATTACAGGTATGAACCGCTGCACCTGGCTGTTTTTCTTATTTGTAAAATGGCGATAATTCCTACCTCATAAAAGTGTTGAAAATATTAAATGAAATGTGAGCCGATATATGAAAAGGCTCAGTAGTTGCATCTAATATAAAGAAAAAATATAAACTGTAACATGCTATACAAATGTAAATTTGTTACTACAGTTATTGTAATTATCTTTTAACCTAATAGGAACAAATTTAAGTTGATAGGATTGGGAGCTAGGGACAGTTGCCACTAATAAATCAGAAGGATCTGTAAAAATTCACAGGCCATTTGGGATTTGATTCTAGTAGACAATGATATCTAAATTCTCACACTCTTTAAGAAGGGTAGTAGGGAAAATCATTGAGTAAACAGATCTGGATTAATCTTGTTTTATCACTTGTTAGCTTTGTGACTTTGGACAAACTAATTTCTCAGTAAAATGAGATAACACCTACTTTATAGATCAGTTATAAAGAAAGAGATTAGTTTCTAGCATGTAATAGGTGTTCAAAATAGTCATTTTTTTTTCTTTGCATGTGGTGAATACCCAGCAGTGACAAACCTGAGATGTTGAGGTCTGTTATTTTAAGGTTGCTTGATGTGGCGGAAAGAATATTAAGCCCTAAGGTAGACTTTTATTCTGTCATATGTTTATTAGCTATTGGCTATGGATGAATCACCTCAGTACTCAGATCCTTGTGTTTTCCTTACCTATAAAAAAGCTAGAGAACTAACACTAGGCACTTTACAAACCTTATCTCATTTAATCTTTCTAATAATCCTGTCAGATAGAGATGATT